CCCGGGGGGGCAAGGAGCGCGCTCGGGGCGGCCACCGGGGCCGCAGGACTTTCTGAGAGGTTGTCTTCGGGTCGATGAACGAGAAGACACCGCTTCCACTGTTAGACTGGGCAGCACCTTCCAGTGGAGACCGAAGCCAAACCACGGCCAAAGGGATGGCTGGGTATGCCTCCTCATGGTAACCGGACTTGAAAATACTGCTCTCCCCTGAATTAATATTGTTGGAGGACCGGCTGTGCCATCCTCACTGACGATCTGGTCAGCAGGGCTGGCTCTGAGGCAAGAGGTCCACAGAAAATCAAAATATCCACAGACGGGATGGGTGTTACGGTTTTCTGTTTGCCTCAGCCTCTGCTCCAGGACACTATTACTGACCCTGTTTTTATTTAAAATTGTGATACTTTGTTCATGAATTTGGGCATCGTTTTATTTTCTAAAATTTTACGTTAAAAATCATTTATCTTGATGACTGAGGTTTTTTTTTTTTTGGGTACCGGGGATCGAACTCGGGTTCTTGTGCTTGTGAGGCAGGTGGCAGAACCACTGAGCTAAATCCCTGGCCCGAGGTTTTTTTTTTTTTGGGTACCGGGGATCGAACTCGGGTTCTTGTGCTTGTGAGGCAGGTGGCAGAACCACTGAGCTAAATCCCTGGCCCGAGGTTTTTTTTTTTTTTTAATGCCTCTAAATTTTTTGCCCAAAGCTAGTGATCCTCCCTCCTCTCGGCTCTGCTAATTAGTATTTATTTTAGTGAGATACTGTGTTTCCGTCACGGCCATAGTGGAGCTGGTTTGATTTGTCTTTTTAGGGAATAAAGAAGGTTATTAAGCTTAATGTTGGTTTTGATGTATGCCTCATTCATTATGATTCATGACAAATCACACACCTAAGCTCCCAGGACTCCTGTTGAGGGTCATTTTCCACATTTTACCAAAGGACCATAAAGGCATCTTAGGATGTCAGAAATCTGAAATCTAAAAGAAAACAGACAGGGTGCAGGATAATAACGTCACAAGCTAAAAGCCAGAAAAATTTAAAAAATTACCAACGTCCTCATTAGAACAAGACAGTAAATACCAGCCTTCAGCAAGACAGCTTGAAGCAGCTGCAGGTAGAGGAGATGGCTTGTTATTTAGGACAGCAATGGTGAGATCCACCTCGGGAAGTTTTTCGTACCGTACGCCTCCAAAAATCGTGCAGCAGCAAACATCCGTCAAATAAATGCAGGCTGCTTTCAATACTGGGATACTCCATTCAGTGTTCACTAGCACTGAGCATCAAGTGTCTTTCGCCCTGCCTAGGCTCTTCAGTGCTCTGCGGAAATCCAGTATTTCCAGGGGGCCGAGATCCCTTTTAATAGGAACTTGTCATCAAGGTACGTGTGTGTCCTCACAGGAGCGTGGTCCTTGGGCCCTGCTGGGGAAAACTTTTTCTGTAGCATTGAAGTCAAACATATAGGAGAGGACCTTCCTTTATAATGGAAGCTGTCATGACCTAAACATTGATTCAATAATTTGATTTTTGTAAGTCCTTGTTTTTTGTTTGCACTGCTGGAGTTTGAACCCAAGGCCTTTTACTGATCTACATTCTCAGGCCTCTTTTTCCTTAGGGACAGAGTATCACTAAACTGTTCAGGCTGACCTCGAACTTGCAACCCTCCTGCCTCATCCTCCCCAGAGTAGCTGGGCTTACAGGTGTGTACCACCACAACCAGCTAACATTCTTGTTTGCCATTGGCATTTACAAGTCAAGGTTAGGAATGATGCAGTCAGCCAGATACTGCTCTCCATCTCAGGCAAAGAGCTTCTCATAAACTTTCTAAGCGGCTTGATTATATCAACACAGTCTGTTTTCAATTAATTTCCCCCCTTTGTCCTTTGTTCATGTTTAAATTGGGAAAAAAAAACTGGTACAAAGTATGCTATCTTAATGTACTGTTTCCACATAAACAACAAGCTTCTTGTATCGCAATTGTTAGATAAGCAACTGAACAGAGTTGACTCAATCATTCAGAAAGGAACACAAAGTATGGGTTTAATTATTTAACAAAATGTGCATCTGGGGAATTACTGACCAGTCTAGTTTAAAATGAGAGCTCATTCCATTTTTTGTGCATTTTGCTTTCTTGCACGATGGGTCAGAGAAACTCATTTGGTAGTAAAGTGACTCCACGATCTCAGCCCTAGAAATTGTGTAGTAGGTAACCACAAAAAAGCCTTTCCAACAGCCCACAAAACTGACCACTCTGTAATATCGCAGGGAAAAGTACTTGTCAGCATCCATGCTCCCAGTCAAAATCAAAACAAGAACATCTGCCGTCTCCTTCTTGATTGTGAAGAAACAGAAGAGTTGGATGCTCTTTCTTTTTTCTCTAATGATGCTTATTCTCCAAAAGTCCTGCAAGGTTGGAAGATGAATGTATGTGAAGAGCAGAGTGGGAATTAACAAGAACTTTTTTTTTCCCCATCAAAATAATCAGTTGCCTAAAAACTTAAAGAAACAGGGGTAGGGGATGTAGCTCAGGGGAAAGCAGAGTGGGGTTTTAGAGACCCTGGACTCAACCCCTGACACCAAAAAATAAAGTAAATGTTCCCAATAATCAGGAACTTTATTCGTTGGAAGAGGCTGAGGTTAAGGGAGGGGGGAGAGATTTAGGAGAAAAAAGTGGTAATAGACATAAATCAAGAGAATATACATCTTCTCCTGGGCCCATGCAGATGGCTGCGTAACGGCCTCCCAGCCAGTCAGCTGCTGCTGAGGGTACAGGGGCTGCGTACGGGGGGTTCGGCCTCCTCCCAGCAAAGCCCGGATGGACGGAGTCCCGGGGTTAGTGATGTAATCGACCTTTCGTGCATGAGGGCATAATCCCAAACAGTGTGGAACCGGCTTTGTGGTGCTGCCTGTGCACCCAGATGCCTGGAAGGCTGGAGCAGAAGTGCAAGTTCAAGGCCGATCTCCGCAACTTAGCGAGACCCTGTCCCCAAATCGAAAATGACGAAGTCTGTGTGTCTAGCGAAGTGTGAGGCCCTGGGTTCAATCTCCAGTACTGAGAGGGGGAAACAGAAAAACATGGGACAGGAAGTGATGTTACTCAGTAGGACAGCACTTGCCTAGCATGTGTAAGGTCCTGGGTTCCATTCCCAGAAAAGAGAGGAACAAAGAGGGAGAGGGAGGAGATCCAGAAGCAGATTTTCAGCCAGTTTATAACAAATATAGCTCATAAAAATAAAAATTAAATTGCAAAGTTTGAAACAAGTGACAGTAAATTTTAAAACAGCAAAATCTAATCTGGGGAAAGTAGGTTTAGAACTGGCTACAGACTTTGTGTGGTGGCCACACCTGTGATCCCCACACTCCTGAGAGAAAGACCACAAGCAACAGCCATTCAGCAAGACCCTATCCCAAAATAAAAAGCAGAAAGGGCTGGGGATGTAGCACAGTGTGAGGGCCTTGGGTTCAATCCGAAGTACAGAGAAAGAAACAAAGATAGAAAAAAGGAGGGGAGGAGGGAAGAAGAAGGGAAAGAGGAAGAGAGTGGGAAGGGGAGAAAGAGGGCAGAAAGAAAAATGTGACAGAAGCTATAATGGTCAAATTCAGTGTGAACAAAAAATTTTTTTGATGTATAAAAGCATTATAAAATTAAAATAAAAAGGAACTGAACTTGTGGAGAAAAGTAAGTACAATAAAATTTGAATTTAAAAATGGTAAATGACATTGTTAGAAAATTAATCAGGAAATTAAACTGACATGATGAACTTCACTCCATGAAATTCTTGACGAAACATCTCTCAATATTTGTAGACCTCTAATCAAAATATTTTACCCATAGATGCAGAGTTAAACTGTCCTGTGGTTAAAACAGTGTGATCTGAATGTCCAGTGGTTCAAATCAGCAGGGTCCAGTGGAGCATGGTGGTGCATACCTCTAATCCCAGCACCCAGGAGGCTGAGGTAGGAGGATCACAGCCAGTTCAAGGCCATTCTGAACTACTGACCTCTACCAGAGAAAGTCCTTTTCCAACAATGAGCTGAATCTCAACCTTCATCCCAAGGCTGAAGGGAAGGAAGATGGTCCAAGCTGTGCAGACAAGGATTTCCTGCAGAATGCAACCCACCATTCTCACTCAGGAACTCAGGACAACCAGCCCCTCACACAGTGACTCTAGGGTCTGTTGGACCTGGGAAACACAGACCTGCAGTGGAGGCTGTCATGTGACCAAACTCCCATGAGCCTTTTCTGCGCCATCATCACCCTGTTGTGAAGCAATCAAAGGTTATGCTATCTGCTCCCCATTGCCATAACTCTTCTGGTTGTCGTCAGCCAACTTCTAGTTGTTGTCTAAGTCATCCTTCAACTCATATCTAAGATGATGCTCCTCCAGGGAAACTTCTCTGACCCTGACTCGGGTCAGGCCTTCCCTGAGTGTTCACACAGAACCTTCTGGTTACTCATCACATTTATCCCCCTCTGTCATAAGTGTCCCTAAGTTTGCTTGTTTGAATTTGCCTGACTATTGCTACACGAAGGCAGGGATTAGCCTACCTTTGTCCCTAGGGCATCTCTGAAACATAGTCAGTACTGGATCTGTCTGCTGTGTGAATGGATTAATTGATTGATACCAAGCTAACAGACCACCAAATCCTCTACATTCTTGTTCTAATTCCATACTCATTAAGGGACCTTAATAGGAGACTTCGGGGTCCACTAGGAATTACATTTAATGATAAAACAATTGCCATTTGAATTTTATACATTGGTCTCCTGTGAGTTTTGCCAATGTGACTTGTCCCCTGAGCATAGTTCTACACCCTGGTTAAGTTTGGGGGTATATTACTAAAAGCAGATTGTGGGTGGCTAAGACCCCAAGGGAAAGGGCAGCCTGTTTTTCCCAAGAAGTTGCTCCTTGTGTCCTAGCGAATTGTGCTCATTTTCCATTTTGAATTTCTATACTCATAGTATTATAAATGCAGGATCTCAATAAACACTTGTCACAGGAATAAAAGAATAGGGATTTTTCTGTACAATGTTTAAGAAATTCAAACACAGACATCATCCTTTTGGACATTTACAGAATCTGGCTATCGGGCTTTCTGTGTTCATAATGAAGCCAGATTGTTACTAATCCTGGCGCCTGGCGTCCTGCTGTGACTGCTCTGACCTGGCGTTCGGCCTTCGTCCTGCCTGGCCCAGGCCCCTCATTAGCCAAGGCTGTCGTCTCTCCGGCTGAGGCTGCTGAGGCTTTGTGTCGGCGCAGGGACAATTCAAGACTTGTCAGCTGGTTGTGGCTGATTATCAAGATGTCCAAACTGGCTCCTTTGCTATGTGTAAGCAATTTAATTTTGTGTCTAATTTTAATCTGCAGCGTACTGTATGTCTGCATCTGTGGCGTTAAAGCATTCATTAGCATTTAAAGGGGGAGCTGATGGTATTGATCACTCTTATTAAAACCCCAAACAATCATGCAGCCCAAACGGAAGAGCATTATCTTCAACCACCGACTCACCGCCAAAGTTAATGTGCTCAGAACATGGACAGAAACCAAAACTGTGCCATTTAGCAGAGGTGTAAGGGACATCTGTTATCAGCGTGATGGTTAGCCACCACTTACCCCACTCAGCTCCATGATTATGAGCCTTTTATTTTCCTGTGGGACTTGGGGTTGAGCCCAGGGCTTTTGCACTGAGCTACATCCGCAGCCCTTTTTGTTTTTTATTTTAAGACAGGGCTAAATTGCCCAGGCTGGCCTGGAACTTGTGACCCTCCTCCCTCAGGCTCCTGGAGTGCCAGGATTAGGTGCCCAGCAGCCAGCCCCTGAGGGTCATCTTGTAGTATCGAGGCAGGCAATTGGATGTGAACCTTAGGACCAATCAGAACGTGCTATCTTCAATTCTTCTCAGGAGAACTTAAAGCTGGTTTTTGTCAGGATGCCCTGGATCTGATGTCAGCCTGAGGGAGGGGTGGGGATAAAAAAGAGGGCCTGGTTAAACTCTTGGCTACTGGGTTCTGTCTTTACCCCATGATCTGCACTCATCCTATAGAGGAGACTGCTTTTCCTGTCTTTAATTGTCCCATATTCATTCTACAGAGCATGTTTCTTTTCCTGCCTTTAATAAATATGAAACCTCGCTACCTTTTGTGCTTATTTTGTCCAATTTTTTTGTTTTAGACAAAAAGAACCTAGAGAGAATATCTAAAAGAAGTCCCCAGAAACCCTGAACCCACTAACAGGCTCTCTACCACAGACCCCCATAAAGCCTTCTCACTCCCCACTGTAATTTGGTATTTTCTGAGCTTTGCCTCTTGTGCTTGTTCCACATTTACTCTGTCTAAAATCAGAACCTGAGCATAGTTCACCTGAATGTCAGAGCAGAAGACATCTTGAAGACTGTCTACCAACGCCCAGCATCCTCATCCCACGGGAGAAGACACCAAAGTCTCTGCCCCATCGGCTGCCAGTTTCAGTCAAAGGCCACGCCCACTGGTGCCCCTAGACCCGCAGTGGGTCCGAGTGCTCCAGGATGACAACGTGACTCTGGCATGCCAGGGAGCCTACCCACCAGGGGCCAGTTCCACTCATGGGTACCACAATGGAGCGTGCATCTCGAGCCAGGCCTCCAGCTACCTCATTTGAGCTGCCAGAGTGGAGGACAGTGGCAAATACCAGAGCCAGACCAGCCTCAATGTTGTGGAAGTGTGATTGACCCTCATCGATGAGTAAATTTTGTTATTTTACTTCCATTCTGCTGCCTCTCTTCACTTGCCGATTCCTTCCACAACATCTCCATGCTCAGTGACTCAGTGTGGCTAGAAGTCCGCGCCAACTGGCTGGTGCTCCAGACCTCTAAGTGGGTGTTCCAAAAGGGGGAGCTCATTCTGCTGAGATGCAACAGCTGGTAAAACAAGCCTGTGTACAAAGTCACCAACCCTCACAATGGCAAACCCAAGAGGTGTTTTCATAACAATTCTGAATTCCACATCCCAGAAGCCACACTCAATCACAATGGCTCCTACTTCTGCCAGGGGCTTGCTGGACATAGCAATGTCTTCAGGGCCTGCAGATATCACTGTTCAAGATCGAACAGCTTTTCCATCCATCATCTCACCACCTTTTCCACCTTGGCACCAAATCACTTTGTGCCTGGTGATGGGATTGCTGTTTGAAGGGACGCTGGGCTGTATTTCTTTGTTCAGAGAGACCTCCAAACATCAGTGGTAGCCAAGAAAGAGTACAATTTTAAACTGAGCCAGGACCAGGAAAAATGACCTCTTAGATCCCAGGGTAATAAAAGCAGCGGTACTGCATCTGGAAACCTCTTTCTGGATCTGCAACCTCCCCATTTGGCATTTCCTCAACAGCAGGAAAAGCACAACTCAGCCAGGGCTCAGGGCACCGCCTCCAGCTCTGCTTTCTTCAGTTTCTAATGGGAAGAAAAGGCCTGTGTTCTTCGGAGACCCACAGTGATACCCCAGGAGTAGCTGCAAGCTCAGGAAATCTCAGAGCCGTATGTTTTCTCTGTCCAAATCAGTCTCCCAGAACAGCAACACATGTGGGACAGTCTCTGGACAGTCACCCTTGAAATGGATAAGCAGTCTCATAAATAAGTAGATAAAAGAGTTAATGAATGAGGCAGGGCATCGGAACAGTGGTCTGCATCCATTGCTGCAGGAGAAGCCCCAGACTCCTTGCAGACAGAGTGCAGGAACTGCTAGGGATTGAGGCGGTTAGCAGAATGCAGGAAGAGGATGGCTGGGAAAGAGCAGGAGAGTCCAGGACAGACAAGGAGGCCCCTCTCGGGGCCCAGAGATAAGGCTCCTCTTTCCAGCAGGAGGCACAGAGGAGTGAAGGGGAATCGTGCAAGTGCAGTGGATTTGAGCTTTATTGGGTTGGGGTGGGGGCTCTCTAACTGAATTGGGGTGTCTGAGGATATAGTGATGAATCCTCTTCGTTCACTGAACAGAAAAAGGAAGGGGGCTATGGCTGAGGGAGTGGACTC